GTTCAAATTATTTTTAAAAATGGATTTTGCTGCTGCAGCAGCTTGTTTTCACTATTGAGTAACGAATCGGTCTAAAAAGAGGAAGGGGAGGGCATTGCAATGTAAACATTGCCATGTGATTGAGGTGATCACACTGATCACAGAGCCATAGTAAGTTACAAGATTCTGCAGCTTCCTAAGATTCTGCCATTCAAAAGGAAGTAAATGTCTACTTTTATATGACTCCCTTCTGTGCTAGTGTTTCCCACTGAATCCCAACCACCATTGTCAAAACTTGCCAGAATTAAAAATGTGTCTGTCCCGCTTGAGATTCACCCTCACTTCCCCTTCATTCTGATAGCCATCACCTGGACTTTAAGTGACATCAATGGGGAGTCAGACAGAAATAAAAACAGGAGGCTCCAACCATTCCCCATTTCGCACAGAATATATATAATTTTTTTTTTATTGAGGTCTCTCAGTTTCTGTTCTAGTTACAGTCCATATACCCACCACACTCCGAGCCGCTGTTCCATCAATGTAAGGTGGGTGCAGCGGTTGTCGACGGATGGCTACCGCCTCGATACACGAGTAGAAGAATGGACACCGGCACTTCAATGGCAAATCAAGTACGTCTCTTTATTGACGTACATGCTGTGTAACCCCGAAACGTTGCACTAAGTGTATTTTGCTATGCAGCAGGCACGTACTTGATTTGCCATTGGAGTGCCGGTGGGTGTCCATTCTTCTTTTCAGTTACTGTTCTGACACATCAAATAGACCAGTGGGGAGCAATCTCTCCATTCTTCATAATAATTTGGCTGTAGCTGGACTTTAATACCTTGAGAAGGGTATAATGCAACAGTTTAGAAACATGCTACCCACAGGATAACATAAGGCTCAATCTAAAGATAGCCAGGGTAAAAACAGCACAACAATCTCCCAGAAGGGAAGAAGAAATGTACAGTCACAGATAAAAACTATTCCTCCTGGAATAATTGGTCCAAATGTTGATAAAAGGTGGTTTGCTATGGCTAACATGGGTGATCCTTGTACCCACCTTATACCAGATCGGCACTACATTATTCCAACTTGGGCTTCGTGCTGCACTCCAATATAAGCAGCTTTTTTACTACTATAACATTTCATGAGGACTTTTTCACCTGGCCCTGTGCAATTCTTATTTCGCTGTACAGAAATGTGATGTTCAACTAATTAGACTATCATCTTGACGCTAATTTCACCAATTTTAAAGAGAGTTTTAATACAGACCTTTACACTCAAAACCAAATTCTACCAATGCATCCCTCTATGTGTGAGGATTAATAAGAATAGTCATGTCAGGTGTAAAATGTTGTGATTTACACTTGCAGAGCATTCACTTGCCAAAGCAATGCACACTGGGATTGCCTTGTCATCAGCAGAGCAATGCTGGGAAGCCTCATCTGGAAAGGCATTTTCCTCCCCTGAGATGTGCATGGTCACAAGTCTAGTCACATGTGCCAGAAATCCAGGAAGTAAATGGAGATCTAGTAATCTGCCCTTAGTAAACATGGCCACGGTCAGAAGACTGGGGAAGCCAGCAATTATGTAGAAGTGCATGTTTGTAGATTAGAAATGTTTAGTAATGACAAAAGGTGTTTGTTGTTATTATTAAGATATGGGTAAAGGTCCGCTTTAAGGTTTTTGCCTGATAACTGCACAATACTTTTAATGGGCCCTCCTTACCATCTTGTCTTGAATTGTAATTGTAATGTCTTCCTTATTTTGTAAAGCGCTGCGCAAACTGCTGGCGCTATATAAATCCTGTATAATAATAATAATAATAATGATGAAGAGAAAAACTGTTCGTGCCTTAGGTGGCTGAAGATGTGAAGCACTGTTTCTACTATTACATTTTAATCTTTTCATCTTCAACCCCGATTGCCAAAAAGTTGGGACGTTGTGAAAAATCTATTTGAAAACAGAATGCAATGATTTGCAAATCTCATATACCCATATTTTATGCACAATAGAAAAATAGGTTTTCTGCCATATTTTGGGTGCCAGCACAACTGAGTGCTGAGATATTTCAGACTGTAAGGTAAGAAGAGACTACACTGCACGTTTGGAAGAAAGCGTAGTGTGTTATGAAGTTTATGAAAGAGAATGTGGTCCTTCATCCATCTGTTTTCCATACCCGGGTTACCCAAGGGTGGGGCAGGTCTGACTATAACCCACTGTTACTGTGTCCTCCCAGGTGCCAATAAAGTAAAATTAGACATTTAAACATTTTGTTACATTGCTAAGACACAAGATGCCATGAAAGACTAAAGTAGGTGAATGACAGTCTGTTGCTGCCTTCTATAGCAGCACTGGTCAAGAATTTGCGATTGTTGGATTATAAACACTTCACTGAGGGTTAGTTCACACCAGAAACTGCATCACAACTGCGTGCGTCTGCGCAGTTGCATTGCAATCCGTTTTGACGCGTTTGATGCGTTTTTTCCCCTGCATGTCCCTGGATGATGCCACAATTAATTCTTTTTTTTTGTATTTGTTCCGATGCATTTGCACTGCGTTTTGATGCGTTTTGTGCAGTGAGATGCAGGTAAAATAGGACAAGCAGTACTTTTTCTGACTGCATCTGAACGGACTGCAATGGTGTGAATTAAGCATAAAAAAGCCCATAGGACAGCATTGTGATGTATTTTGACTGCAGCAGTCAAAATAAACGGACTTCATCACAACTGCATATGGTGTGAACTGACCCTAAGCCATTTTGGATTTATCTTCTGTTGGCAAAATCTCCTAAATATTTATATTATATTTTATAGTAATATGTGTTGTTGTAAAAAAAAAAACCCTCACATAAATTATTTTATGAAACTTATGCAATTCTGGCATAGAAGCCCTTTAATCCAGGACATGCCCACAGATATGAAAACCTGCTGAGGCTTTTAAAGACAGACCATATTGCTGCTTACAAGCCACATGAGGAGTATGTTATGTAGAATAAGGTCAGAGACCAAGAATCAAGACAAAACAGACATTGAAACAATTAAAATTAAATTTATAAACTGTCCTTTATACATATTACTTTGTCAAAGGACAAAAACTTTTTTCCAGAACATTTTCTTCCATCGCTCTGAATATAAAGCACTGGGTCCCCTTCTTGGTTCCTCCTTTGGCAATAAAAAGTGTATCCACAGCCATCAAAAATAGTTGTTATGAATTCCTCCTTCTGTATATACCTCTGTAGCAGTGAGAATTTGTAGGGGAAATGACAACAGCCTCCACAGTAATTCCAGTCTTGCTGCCAAGGTATTGGGAAGCCGTCGCTCAGGACCTCCTTGGTGCCTTGGCAGAGATGGGCCACTGTGAAGCGTCACATGACGGTCGGGCAGACTGGTGTTCAGTGTATGGCAACAAAACCATCAAATTAAATTCCAAGATGAGTTCATCAGTGAAAACAAAAACACTGTGTCATGAGAGATGGACAGTGTCCAGAGTCTTCCTATTATACAAGTCCTCCACCGTAGGTAATCTCCACTGTGACATCTAGCAATCTACAATGTCTATATTGTCTCATATCTGAAAATAGTTTCTTCATACCGGTGAGTCATGATCCTCTCCTGATTTCTTACTCTTGTTCCTAATATGTTTGTACCTGTCCACATAGCCTTTCACCAGGTTCACCACTTTAACTGGATTGATTTCTCCACTTTTGCTGTGACAGATCTAGGAAAGAAATACACTGATCAGATTTTTCACCAATTCAGCAGGGGGGGGGATACACATGCCATTACGATGGTGTACCCCTCTCATCAGTGGCGTCACAAGGGGAATGCGGCCTGCACCCGGGTGATACCAAAATGACTGTCATTTTGGCGTCACCCCCTCTAAAAAGTCGGGCACTCGGTCATGGACCGATGGAAGTGTCAGGAGAGAGGGGAACCGGTGGCATACCTCATCCAGCCCGGTGAATGCCCCCTCTTCTCTCTGCTGGCGTCCATCACCAAGATGGCTGCCGGCAGGCGTCAATTAGATGACCGCGCATGCGCGATGATGTCATCGTGCAGACGTGCGGTGACTTCATGCGCATGTGCGATGACATCATGGCGGGGTGTCGCCCAGTCGCAGCTTCGGGTGACTCCCGGGCTTGGGACGCCCCCGCCTCTCATGCCTTTATATGAGAGGTACATGCAAAACGGAATTTGCTGTAGCAACGCGACCTGGCCAGCTACTGTAGTGAAGCCTTCAAAAAAGGGAAACTTTAAGTCTTCAGCATCGCTATTTTAAACCTATTTCTGATATGTTTACAAAAGTTGAAAATCAAATTAACATTTTTAAAGCAGAACTCTGGGTAAAAATGTTTCATTAACCCTTGCAGTGTGGCTACCCCTGAACTGCAAGGGTTAAGTGCTTGTTTTTGGCTAGGGTCAAAAATAAAAAACGCACACTCACCCAATCCTCTAAGTCGACTTGCTCCATGAACGGTCCCTGGAGCATTTCTCCCCCTCTACTGCAGTGGTCCCGGAGTCATCATGTTCTACACACAGTGTATAGGACGTGAGGATGCCGAAGGTCATACCATTGCCGCAGCAGAAGAGCAGACTGGCAGGAGGGAGTGTGGCTCGGATAATCTGGCAACAGCTCTTATTTGTTGATTTAAAAACTCATAAAACATGTTTACATTTATATATTTTTTTCCTAGAATAAAAAACAAAAACACTATAGATTCACTTTAAAGACTGGCCCCAATACAATTTGGGCCATTTATCTTATCAAAGTTTCACTTACTGAAACCTGTTTAAATTAAATCTATTCTCATGCTACTGCATACTACAAAAAGAAAAGTTGACTGCAGAACAAAAACAAAAACAAAAAAAATGGGATTCTAACTAAACATTTTAGTAATCAGAAGACCTCCCAATCCTTCAATTACCAGGTGAAATTAAAAGGAAAAGGAACCTAAAAATAAAACTAATGCAGCCACCCAATCTAAGGACTGGCAAGCTGTAATATATGACATCACCCACCTTCTGCACTGCTTTGCGTAGGATATCCTTGTATTCCTCCTTTGTAATCTCCCTCTTCTGGTAATATGGTTTAATGGCCAGCTTGACTTCTTCGACTGCTCGTTCCTGTATGTGAAGTTTCTTCATGTACTTAAGAGGAAGAAAAAAGAAGAAAAAAAAAAAAAAAGAAGAAGAAGGATTGAGAAAATGTAAGGAAGAGGAAAGCTGGGATCATGCAGATAAGGATCTTCCTGAGCCATGTATTGTCTCCTAAATACCGTATTTGCTGGCATATAAGACGAGTTTTTAGACTTAAAACCATCCCCCGAAAATCGGAGGTCGTCTTATACGCCGGGTATACAATACCGCTGGCTGTGCGGTAATACTGTATGCACAGTAGCTTCTGCTACATACAGTATACCGTGCTGAGCCAATCACGGCAGCAGCGCTGAACACTGAAAAATGGCCTGGCCAGGTAGGGGATCTAAACACCTGGTCTTCAAGCGGTTAAACATTATTTTGGGCTATACTCGTCTTATACAACGAGTATAGCCCAAAACCTATGTTTTAACAGAAAAATTAGGGGGTCGTCTTATACTCCCAGTCACCTTATACGCCAGCAAATACAGTAGCTATTCCACCTGCACTGAGAATATATTGTAGATAAAATGACTACTAAACCTGTGCAGACAACCAAATCATTTATTGTTCTATGCAGTCTGTAGGGTTAGATTTATACACCATATGCTGTCCTAGGCACACATAAAACAATGACCCTCTGTACAAGTGTTATTGGTTGTTCTGGGGGTGTCCGCCTGCATCCTAGCAGCCAATCAGCCTTTGTTGCCCAGCTGACAGAGTCTTAGGGTTGCATAGTGTCATTGGCTACTGGAAAAAAAAATGACCCAAGACCTTAAAGAGATACTTTACCCATATTTTTTAAATGAAAACAAACAACTTTAGAAATGTTTAGTTATGACAATCTACAAACAGATACTTAAAAATAAATGCCTGCTTTTTATTCTTTGGATATCTCCTTTTTGTTTTCCTCCCCATTCTCCTCACAGTGGCCATTTTTACTAAGGGTGGATTAATATATTTCCCTTTACTTCCTGGAAATCTGGCACCTGTGACCATTGAAATCTCAGGGGAGGAAAATGCCTTTCCCTGAGATCTTGTGAGACTATGGATGAGATTTCCCACCAATGCTCTGCTGATGTAACCTTCCCAGGATGTAATGCTTGGGCACATCACTAATGTCCAAGAGAACCAGGAAGTGTAAAAACAATAATTGTAAGTAAAAAGAAAATATGTTTGTTTAGCTAATGTAAGATGATTTGATATCAGCATGCTGATGTGATTTTTAGTGAAAGGTGGTAAAGGTAGGCTATGACATGTTGAAGGTACCTTCACTGCTGGTCACACCTTATAAATCATAATAGAATGTCAAAAAAAAAACATAAAAGCATGAGATGAATGAACAAGAAAATCTTACCTCATCATTTTTATCTTTCTCTTCTTTTTTCAGTTTTGATTTCCCCTTCACTTCACCTAGAACACCATAGCACAAATCATAAGTCAAGCGTCTTTTGACACATTGTAAATCAAACAATGCACCTGCACTGCACATTCAGCCTACATGGTTATCCTTAGCAATACCAAATAAAAGGAAATCCTCCTAGAAGACACTTCACACAATCCAATTGGCCCTTTCTTGACAAATTGGGGATGTAGATTCAGAAGAAAGCTGTAAAGAAGCCTTTTGGCCTCTGAGCAAGCAAACACTTTCATATTAAATAAGTACTGGCTGTCATTAGAAATTTGCTTTTGATCAAAGTTAGAAACAGATGATCACTACCAGCACCTACTGAAGTAATTAACTGCCTGGGGAACAGTGTTATTAGTCATCACCTGTTTAGATATCTGTATTAAACAATCTATTACTTCCAACCTGCTAGAAAGGAGCCGTGGGTCAACCTGAACCCAACCTTTTTGCAGTTCAATGAACAGGTGAACAATTTGGCCAGTTCACCAGGCAGACCTATGTCTGTATCCCAACAACCAATAATGCTGTGGGGACAACAATGACCTGCACAGCATCATTGGTTGCATGGCAACACAGCCTCATTGGTTGGTTGGATGCAGGTGGGCACACAATAACGGATGACGCTGTGGACCTTGCCAGTATCTCAGAAAGCATTCCCACTGTGTAGGCTTCAAAATGCCACTGGTTGCTAGGACACAGGAGGCCGCAAAGCATTATTGGTTATTATGGTGTGCTCATCTGCATCCTAGCAACCAATGAGGCGGTGTGGCCATGTTCTAGAAAACTAGGGTTGCATATCGTCATTGGTTGCTAGGAAACAGGTGGCCTTGGGTTTGACAAACAACCAGGGAAACCAAACCGAAGCAGGTTCAGCTCATTACTACACGCTACCTATAGGTGCATGCAAGACGGGACACTTCAACATACATTTATGGACATACAAATACTGTTGCTGTTAAGCCGAGGTACAGCTCAGACAATATGACAGTACATACAAGAAAGGACCACACCAAGAGATTTTCAGATTGTCTAACTGCATTATAATCAGAGTGTTTTTTTAGTTATTAAAACACCAACATACTAAAAATATGAATGTGCTTATAAGAGGATGTTAATATTTAGCCATGGATTACCTAGAACACCAATATCTTACCTGTGCTTGCCGCTTTAATTTTTGGTTCATTAGTTGTAGCTAGATTGCCAGGTTTTGGGGTCTGGCTGAGGACTGTTCGACTGATCTGAACCACACATGGCACTGTGGGCTCACTCAAATGGGCGTAGGGAGGAAAGATTGGTGGGAGGGGTAACGGAGGCAGGGTTTGTGGGAACACCTGTGGAAGAATACGATAGAAGTATTAGCGAGGATTGAAGAAACAACCTTCGGTTTATACATATTACGAAGCAATGCTAAGAAAACATTAAAATGGTTTCTTTTAGGATTGACTGGAAGTTCACTGCATTATGTTTACCAGCTTTTTACATAAAAGGGCAGATTTATTACAGGGTACTGTCAGCATGCTCCATGTGAGATGCACAGCAACAGCATTTATAAATGTATTCAGGAAGTGCCGATACTGAGTAATTGGGCGAGTACTTGTACTTGCACTCACCCAAAAGCTCCAATACCTTCCCCGATACCGGAACTTTCGGTCAGGGGAAGATTTCCTCTGACCGGCAGTGCCATAGGGGAACATGGAGCCGGCTTCCCGGGCAATCAGAAAGCCGGGTGGCGAGTAATGATCCGCCTCCCGGCTTCCTGATTGGCCGGGAAACCGCTCCATGCTGATGGGCTGAGAAGCCGGCTTCCCGGCCAATCAGCATCGAGCCGGCCAAACAACATGGAGCCGGCTTCCCGGGCAATCAGGAAGCCGGGTGGCATGTCATTACCCTGTTTGCCCGGGAAGCCGGCTCCATGCCAGCGGAAGCACTGGTATCGCTACTCTGTATCGGCGAGTACTGAGAGCAAAATATCAGTACTCTTACTCAATACCGAAAAACCAGTATCGGTACATCTCTACTATAGATGTATAGATGTAGATTGATTTCCGACATGGTCTGCATTGAGGATTGCATGAACTTGTGCACATTATGGACTCCACCTTGGAAAGGATCAGGACACATTTGAGAATAAAGTGCTTCCACTGTCAAAAATGTGTAGCACAGTAAATGTGTAGAACAGAAAGTAATCACGTGCCTCATTCCGTAGCATATCCCAGAAATAAAAGGATTATTCCTTTCTGCTGGCTGCAGAAGCACAGGTGTATAATCAGGGGTGTGGAAATTTTGGAAAAAACTACTTGTCCAAGGACTAAAGCGGGGGCCGAATCTACTTGTCCTGATACAAAAAAATTATTTTAACCAAAACCGTATATAGCAGTGCTAAGAAGCGCTTCTCATTGGTCAGATAATACAGATACAAAACTAAAATTATAGAGCTATTTATTCCAAATTGCATACAGCTGTTTCAGGCATGATGACCATCATCGGTGCAGTGTATGGAAAGCATATATTGGAGAGTAAAGTTTGGGGTCAAACTTTACTGCAGGAAATGATAAAATTGTCTAAGTTTAGTACTCATGGGTCAGTTTTGTGATATAGATCACTAGGGTAAGTGTACACGCGGCTGTAGTAGGTCCACACGCAGCTCATATTTTAGCATCAGAGATTGGTTGCTAGCAAACGCCTTACTAAATAGAAACATGGATGGGTTTTTTTTTTGTTTGCATGACTACCCTAATCAACAGTGCAGATCAGAGCGGCTGTGAAATTGGCTGGGCCAAGTTGTCGGATACCCCTCAACTCTGTGATTGTGAAAGAGGTTAGGGGCTGTCTCAGGCAGGTAAGCTGAAACATGCTCATTGTGTTCAGGAGAACCTCCTTGCTGTATGAAACCTAGTGTGAAGGTTTAATATTTGGCTATGTGTGGGCACCTGAAGGGGCCTATCTTTTGCAATCCAAGGGACTTGACTGGCATCTTTCTCTGGTCTGTCTGGAGCTTGTACAGTATGCTTGTCCACTGTATGAACCATAGGTTTGTCGTCAGACTTCATCCCGATGTGCGTCAGTAATTTGTTGCCAGCATTCCATGAAGCCTCACTCACGGACTCCTGCCCAGACTCTTGTGTGGCTTTCTCAGGCAAAGTCCAGGTAACTGAAGTGGATGTCTCGCTAGAGGGGTCAGGCTCATCACTGGATACTTTAGCATCTGTATGCTCCTCTGACGGTGACCAAGATTCATCCTGCTGAGTGTTGTACAAAGGGGAGGCTTGAAAAAGGTAAAGAAAAAAAAAAAAGATGTTGATACAAATTACATAATGGATACAATAAAAATAGCTATATAAAACTCAACAGACAAGAACAAGTAAATGCCATTTACTACAACTCTCAAGATTCTCAGGCAGACTTTTTTTGTGGTTAAAACAAGCATTTTGATGTATGTTACCACAAAGCACGATTACATGCTATATATGTGTTGTACTGCGAATCCATGGAGGTTCCACTTTACCGACAGCCACCCCACCACCCAAATACTGTACATGCAGCTTAAAAAAAAGTATGTCAAAAAAAAAAACTTACTTCGGCCTTGCATACTAAGGGTGCAGGTGATGTCGCTGCACCTCACTGTTGCCTCCCAGGAAAGTTAGGCATTCAAAACCCACAAACACATTGCAGGATTACATTCCAAAATAACTACTTTTAGGGGAAGCAGCCTTTAGGCGCAATGGCATCACACGACCCTTTGGGAAGTATTGGGAGCAGGGGCTTTTAAAAAAAAAAAATGTAAAAGCTTTTTTAGCAATATGTATTTAGAGGGTGGAGCGGTCAGTAAAGTGGACCTTGCATTTTCATAGAACGTCCAAGCAACCAATGACTCGGTCCCACAGTGTCATGGTTATGGTGCACCTACCAGTGTTCTAGCAACCAATGACACACTGTGGCCCAGCCACTAAAGTCTCAGTAACCACTGATGCTGTGTGGGTACCACATCGTCATTGGTTGCTAGGACACAGATGGCGATCAATTGCCCCCCAAGCACACATATACTCTAAAGACAAATGCAGGTGTGTTATAGCACACCACAACACATTAGTTTACTAATATATATACATTCTTAAAAAAAAAAAAAAGACCAAAAACCATTAAAGCAATTTCTCCCTGGTAACTAATCACAAAGTTATTAGTTCACACCAGACACAGCATTTTGATCGGACTGGACCGCAGGCATAACGTGCCCTGCATTCCCATGCGGCCGATTGCATTGTGGCCGGAGGGTGTGGCTACGGTGCCATTCACTTCAATGGACTGCCACGCCCCCTCCTGTCCCACAACATAGTGAGCCGGCCGCGATGCAATGCGTTCTGGCCAGAATCGGGCCGGAACGCACTGCGTCTGGTGTGAACAAGGCCGAAGATAGACAATACTTAGGTGATCATATTTAACAAAGGCTAATTCAATAAGGCAAGGCAAAGAGCACCGAGTAGATACAAAGTAAGGAAGGAAACTATATTTCTTTACAGTAAACTTAAGTCTAGCTGGCTTCTTATTGATTTCTACACTTTGCACCTCTATGCATTGCCTTATGGTAGAAGCGGATCTGTTCATTCTTCTAGATGTACAAAACACCAGATATGTCCATTGTGCATCTTGTATGAAAGACCAGAACCTTACACAGAGATTCGTCTGGGGTTTCCTTCTCAGACGCTTTGTCCTGAAGGTTCCATGTCACTCTCTTTATCTGAGGTTTAGATTTAGAGATGGAAGTGGGTTCTTTTTCTTTAAGCTCATCAGACTTCCTTTCTTCTGAATCCTTACTTTTTGAGGTCTTTTCATTAATGTGATTTCCAGCCTCTGTTTCCACTGAATTTTCATTATCCTGAAGAAATGGAATGACTGCCGTTTTGGAGAAGTTAATTATAGTCGGCTCCTAGAATATAAAAAAAGTCAGTCTCCCAAATCTGCCTTGCAGTCCATGTTTGTATTATTCGTTGCATAAGAACAAAAGGTTTATTTTGCAATTAGTATTCCTATTCTATCCAGGATTTATATGAAACATTTTTTAAAGTTTATCATTAAAGTAAAACTCCAGCCAAACAAACAGCTTTGTTTCCACCAGCCCGTGCGCTCATCGCACTGTCCCGTGCCCGGAATGCAGGGGATCGCATACACAAAGTATCCTTGCGTTCTGGGGTGGGAGGGGGTGTAGCAGTGCTATTCATTTCAATGGTACTGCAGATATGCCAACCGCCTGCAGTGTGATTGGCTGCACGAGACCAGGTGCTAATAAAATGCCCTGCGTTCCAGTGCGGTATGATCGAAAAAAATCGTACCGCGCTAGAAGGCAGGGCATTTTATTACCACACGGTCCTGTGCGGCCAAATCGCACTGTGGGCGGGGCGTATCTGCAGTGCCATTGACATGAATGCCACTGCCACGCCCTCTCCTGCACCAGAACGCAAGGAGACTGTGTATGCGATCCCCTGCGTTTTGGGCACGGGACAGTGCGATGAGTGCGCGGGCTGGTGGAAACAAGCCCTAATACACATCTGAAATATACATCTGTGAATTACTATTTAACAAAATGTTTGTAGGTCTGTAGAGCTGGTCTTATAAGCTGCACATCTGTCCCACTGTCTCGCCAGGCAGATGACACTTCATTTTCCTGGTTTAGCTTTTCACTTGAACCAGGAAACTGCTACATTGCATACTACGCCACAGTCCCTTCACAGAGGTGTGTGAATCACAAATAATTACTAATCCTCTGTAAAAGTAAAATAGATCACATATACATGTTCCATATTTAAACTATTAGCTTGAGGTTCAAAAAAACAAAAATGCATCAACTCTTTCCCTGTCACCGACATTAAAGATACGGCAGAACAATGCCTTAAAGTGTATTTCCACTTTTGCAGCTAAATTGGGATAATTACTATTGCTATTGACAATTGCTCATGATCTGACGTTAGCGGTGCAATCGTCGTTTTTGCACGTAGGCGCACCCAACGCATGTTTGCATGTGTATGTGAGGAATTTAATAATTTTCTTTGTTTTTTTTATATGCCTAACTGAACAGACTGAAGGGAGAAGCTTGCCGTGAGCAACTGCTCCAGATTCTGTCTGCCCCAGCATTCATACATTGCCCTCTTAGGCCCCATTCACACACGAATCGGCCTGCACGTACAGCTCCGTGCGGGGCCGTACCAAGCAGCTGCCGGGAAGGACAGGTGCTGTGTGTGATTAGTACGCAGCACCCGTCCTACTCTATGGGGCTACTTCGCCGTACGCCCCCCTACGCTCGCCTCAACTGCAGGTCCGTAGGGGTTTCCTGGCCGGGACGCATACAGGATCCATTACGGCGGCGTATGAATAAGCTCACCCGCACCCCTATGGACGTAGGGCTGCGTAGCCCCATAGAGAAGGACAGGGGCTGCGTACTAATCACAAGCAGAACCTGTCCTTCCCGGGAGCTGCTTGGTACGGCCCCGCACGCAGCACAGAGCTGTAGATGCAGGCCGATTAGTGTGTGAATCGGCCAAAATTGTCAAAAGAGCAGAGCAAAGATGGCCATACACTGTGCGAATTTTAGCCAGTTCTTAATGAACCGGCTGAAATTCGCAGTGGGTGCCCCTGTCGGCACCCTTCTGTCCGGCATCCTATCAGAGCCGGATAGAAAATCTTCGAGTGGCGATAGCCAATCAGCTGTCACCAAAGTTCGAGAATTCCAACAGTGGCACACTCGCAGTTGTCAGAATAAAGAAAGGACACCGCAGAAGATTCCTCCACCCACAATGTTTAGCCTAGATGAAGGAATCGGTTATATTTTTTTTCACCCAGCTGGCAGGTTGAACAAAAAAAAAAAACAGAATATGGCCAGCTTAAGCTCTTGTATGTTACATATCCTTGAAGAGGAGTAATGTAAAAATGTAGCTAGTAAACATTCTGTCCATATAGCACACAAGGTCGATCGCGATCTACCAGTCAATCGCATAGCGATCACTGGTAGATTGCGATGCCCTCTCCTCCCGCCGGTGGGGCTTCTCTGGATCCCCGCTGCTCCCCATCTGTATGCAGCGGGGATCCGAGAAGGGAAAGAACCGCTGCAGCCCACGGCGGAGGACGGAGCCGCTGTCATAGAACTAATGCCGAGCGGTGAGGAGAGAAAGAAGCTCGGCCTGGATCTGACAGGCGGCGCCTCTCTCTCCCCTCACCGCTCGGACTTAGTTTTGACAGCGGCTCTGCCCCCGGCTGAAGGGCTCTTTCACTTCTCGTCGGACCCCCCCGCTGCCTCTGCCCGGGAGAGCATGGGGGATCCAGAGGAGAACCTGAGCCCCCATGTGTGTGGCCGAGCGGCAGGGGATCGGTATATATCAGTGATGTGCAGGACAAACACTGGAGCGATCAGCTTATCACTCCAGTGTTTGTAAATAACTGGGGACACAGTACTATGTGTCCATAGTTATGAACAGGATATGATTTCCATCACTTCCTGTTCATTCATGAGTTTTTCAATGGGGAGAAGCACTCTGTACAGAGGCTCCTCCTCATTCAGAAACTGCTTGATAGTAAATAGTTTCTGAATGAATGGGAAGCCTCTGTCCTTTCCATTCATTTATAATAGAGGCTGCAGAAAAAGAGATTGAGGACTTTGTGTCCTCAATTTCTTTTTCTATTTTAAAAGGGAAATATCAGGGGGCTGTTTGGACCCCTAATATCTCCCCGAAGCCCCCCCAAGAGTAAAAAAAAAGAAAAAAATTAAATAAAAAATAAGAAATAATGAAAATGAAATAAAAAATTGTAAACAATAAAAGAAAAAAAAAGTTTTTTTTCTTTTTCTTGCCTCAGGCGCTAAAGGAGCTGCCTACGGCTATGCTCCCGCGGTGCTCGTGCGGCTGAATGTGCAACACTACAGATGGAAAGGGGCGGGACACCTCTCCCCATGTGCAACGTCGGCCACACAAGCATCACGGGAGAACAGGGCGCCGGCACCTCTAGGGCACACTGGAATATAAGCCGGCTGACTCCCTGCGTTCAGGTGCGGGAGGGGGTTGTATTGAAGTCAATGGCACCGCAGCCATGCCCCCTGCACCCGGAACGCAGGCACATTAGTGCCTGCATTCTGGTCTAGTGCAATCTGAAAAAATAGTGCTTGCAGCATTTTTGCGGATCGCGCTGGAATGCAGGCACTAATGCAGGCGATCGCACTGTGGGCTATGGTGCCATTGACTTAAACGCCACGCCCCCTCCCGCCCCTGAATGCAGGTGTTTTTTCGCTGGTAGATCTCAATGAGCTCGTCATTTGAAAAGTAGATCTCCAGATGAAAAATTGTGGGCGCCCCTGATATAGCACATTATTACCACAACAGTAAACTGCTTGAAATATAATGAAATAACAAAAGGTCACAGGAAAAAGGACAAAAACAGGTTCAAAAACAGGAAAACTATTGTTAAGGAATACAGGTTACCTCATAGTCACCTTCCCGCTTCATCAATATAGCTTCTTCGAGGTCAACATCATCAGGGCTGTCTGCATCCACCGAGCATACATCATCATCTGAAAGTTCGTTTAGCAGGAGGTCATCTAAATGTGACGGAGACCACTGAAGGTCATCTGGCTCCTTTTTGACTGGCGAAACAGAGGCCGACTGAACAGCTTCTTCAAGAGAACCATCATGTGGACTAGACGACTTAGGACTTGGTACATCTGATGGAGTAGACAGTGGAGAATTCTGAGGACTAGCAACTAATGAACCAGAATGCAAGTCATTTACAGGAGAAGCATCCAGGGGTGAAGGAGGCTCTGGGACATCCTCAATCTTGGTTTCCGGGAGCAAAGAATCCAGAAGAGATGGTGACCATGGCGGACTATCGGCCTCAAGCTTTATTTTTTCATCAAATGAGTGATCAGAAAATTCTGAAGGCGATTCATCTTTAATGGAAACCTTCCTTTCAGAATAAAGGAAAGGGTCAATTTCATCTTCCTCTTCCTCTTTTAGTAGGCCGAGCACAGACTTTTTTGTCTCTTGGGTAATTGTGGGAGACTCTGTTTTAAAGCTAACTGTACATGTTATAGTCTTTTCATTGTTATTTGGGGATAGCACAATATGTCTGGTTATTTCGGAGTCTCGAAAATAGGTTTTGTCTTTTGGCTTCTGAACTTTGATCTCCTTGCTGATTTGTGGAGACATCGATCTTTGCTTTCCACGATCTTCCTTCGACTTTTTTCTCTCCTTTGCCTTGAAGCTTAATTCCTTGCTGGAGTAAGTCTTTTCGCTTTTGTGTTTCCGTTTTCTTTCCTTATCAGGACTGATGGAATAGCCTGGTGACTCACTTCTTGAATCCCTCTTCTTTTTCTTCTTCTTCTTGCTGTTGTATGCTCTGTGGGAAGAACTGCTATGACTGCTTGATCTGGACCTCCTCCTTTCCCTAGACTCTGATCGTTTTCTTTTCTTCTCTTTCTTCCTTTCTTTTTGCCGCTTTTTTTTAGAACGTTCACAGCTTCCCGAACTCGATCTGTCACTACGTGCTCTTTTTGCCTTGTGTGATTTGGACTTGTATTTTCTCTCTCTATCTTTGTCCTCATTGGACAGCGACGCAGATCTTGAATCTCTTTCTCGAGAATGTGGTCTCGTTGTTGAACTTGAGCTTGCTTTCACCTCCTCCTTAATGGTTATCTTCTTCTTTTGGGTTTCACTGGTACGGCTTTTAGGCTCATGTGGGTTTTCTGCATCCCAAACTAGCCTACTGCTTGTTGTTGATGTACTTTGAAGAGAAGTCCTGTTAGGAAGAACATCTGGATCAGGTTTAATGGAAACTACAGGGTGTTCCTCTTCTATGTCAAAATGAAATCCACGAGTGCCTCCTGCCTTGAGGTCAGAAGTAATTTTTAGTCCTAACGGACAAGATATTCTAAAGGGTGGATGCTCATTTGTCTCTTCCTCAATTACTTCCTTCTTGATTTCCTTTTCCAACTTTAGGAAAGAAGGAAGGGTAGGGCTTGCATTAACTTGGCTTGTAGATTCTTCCGGCTCTTTATTGGTAGGCGACATTCCAGAAAAGTCCGGGCCCAGCTTAGAAACACTCACTTTGCTTGAGTGGCTGGTGAATTTAAAGCTGCGAAATGCTCCGACTTTTACTCCACCAGAGTGACCTGTACTTGTATTAGTAGAAGTAGTAGTAGGAGTAGTTTCTACAGGTAAAGGGGGCGGAGGAGGTGTAGCTGGCCTTTCTGGGCTGCTAATGGGGGAACCTGAATCTGAACCTGTTGGTTCAAAAGGATCATATATTTCATTTTTAACAGTTTTTTCTTTCTTGATTGATGTAGAATAAGGAGGTGGGGTCTTTTGTGGGGTTTTGCCATCTGAATTACGAAAAGGATCTTTTGAAACCGGACTAAACTGTCTGCAGGAATTAGTGGAACCTCCACTAATTGTTATACGAAGCCCACCTCCTCCAGAGTCTGAGGAGCCAATGTTCCTTGAACTGTTGGAATAAGTTGATGATTTGTTACTGCTTGATGCTGTACCACCAGTGTTTCTTGAATGTGCTTGTGATTCTTGTCTGGTGTTTCTTTCCGTGTTTTCTCCTGTAGAAAACCTGCCTAACTGCTTACTGTCTCCTCGACCAGTTAGTTGGTTCATGACGGGTCCTGAAGGATTATTTTCTGAGCTCTTGTTGGTTGAGGTTTCCAGTCGCTTACTGACTTCATTGTTAGGGCTGTAGTCCGTTTCCCTTTTGATCTTTGGTATCCGGGGAAATTCCGAAATGTCCAGTCTTAGTTCTGGTGGCTTGGGAGCATACTTGTTCTCTGCTTTCTTCTGTTGTGCAAGATCATTCTTGCTGGGCAGTTCTCGTTTGTGAAAACCCCCATTGAAGCGTGAAGCCTCCCCAGATTTAGATGTTGAGCGGCTAACAGAAGAATGCACCTGGACAGCCCTTGGTGTGAAAGCATTTTTTAGTCTGAAAGTAGGTCCTCCAGATACTGAAGAACTGTGCCCAGATAGGCCATCTAAGCTGCTAGAAGATGAATGTGGTGACGGTGATAAAGAATAAAGACCAGCTGAAGGAAAACTGGGTTGAGGTGGCTGCTGTTCAATGGGCTTCCATGTGTTAGGGGATGTGGTTGTTGGGGACCCTGAGTGAGACGGGCTTTGTTCCATTATGTCTGCTGGTGTTGCAGCTTCTCTAGATGTTTTTCTCTGTGACGTTGCATTACCTGTACAATAACCAAAGAAAAACAAAACATAACATCTGATGTCCTACTTTTTTCTAGTATGGAGCTAGTATAAAATCATAGGAACATTGCAAGAATTTCGATTTTTGACTTACAAGACCAGATTCTTAGACCATGGTTATATGCTGCTGCCTTCGGTAATTGGGCGCTGGCAATTTTGCCAGTGTTCAACCACCTGAAGGTAGCTGCGTATAACATGTGCCCTGTACTGTACAATTAAGAAATATAGTTCTTTTTATGGCCTAAACGTTTTCATGAATCACATTATTCTAACAACCACGAAAAAAAGCTGATCGGTATAACATGTACACATCTACAGGTGCAGACACATACATCTGCAGAAGGTTTTTAGTGCTCCAACATGTCCTAAATGCCAAGGCATTTCGATATTGGCACTAACTGCAAAAGCAAGTCAAACCTATCACGGTGATGGAACAATAAAAATAAAAAAAATAGTATGGGGGCAGGAAGAAGGCAGCAAGGGTTGAAACTACCAGTTATTGCCATAGAACTGTCTATTTAGAAATGCCCATCATTTGAGAAGAGCGGGAGCAGTAAAAGCTATTGCACGCACATGCCTGCACCGCTATCTCAGGAACCATATAACTAATGTGCAAGTCCCAAACCATGACTGGCTTTTTTTATGGATTCCAACAAACACATTATCACTTGTTCCTTATGAATGCCTTCTTGCCATTAAAATTAAATAACCAATTTCCTAATTCCTAATTTTGTCCCCATCTTAAACATCATTTATAAGTAAACAATTCATGTCCACAGGGGCCCTGGTTTCCCCAGATTCTATAAAGCACAGAGTACATTAATACATGTCTACATGCTAGCCAACACAGAGTGCGCGGGGCTGTGCAGGACGGCATATGGGGTACAGATAGTACACCTGTACCGGTTGAGGGGAAGGATCGCGGAGGGAGAGAGGGGGCCAGGTTTAAGCAGGTAATTCAATTTTTCCAAATTACTTGGAAAAGTGAACTTTCACTTTAATGCCCATCATGCATGTTAGGGAGTGCTGCTGCCCAGATACCACAAAATGACACACAGTGGAATGGGGGCAACACACACACTGCCCTACTCGTGCGTTTATTTGCATGCAGGTGGTAGGGACAGCAGGGTTGGTTTTATTTTATATTTTTTTACTTTTTAGTGATTTTTTTAAAATGTTATTTTATCACTTTTTTTTCACTTAACTTTGTTATCACACAAGGGCTAACAAGCTCCTATGTGATAGCAGTAAGAGGTGACAGGTTCTCTTAATGGAGCATGCCCTCCGGTACAGGAGATCGTGCACAGCACCGGAATGCCCTCCACGATTGACAGACAAGATGCCAAGGATTACCCCTTCAACCCCCCAGCCCAACAGGTTGGCAACCATTATGAGAACCTTCCAAAAGACAGGAAGGAAGAACTTTGCACACACCAGAGCTGTATTTCTAAACCACGAACCCACGGTTAACTGGTCAAACAAATCAGACTGCCCAGGGTCAGGACTGGTTTGTCCCACAATGACCGAATGTTGTGTTGTAGATGTCTGGAGTGAAATTGGGCAAAGGAAGTGCCTAATTCTTGATTGAAGAATAAAGTGAAGATGATCACAGGATGGTCTTTAAAACTGCAGGCACTAGGAAAATAAAACTGAGGCATGCGGGTAAGCTCCTGCTCAGAATAAAGTGAAGAAAAGAATTGATAGATAAAATCACAGGTTGGCCTTTAAAACTGCAGGCACTAAAAAAAAAAACAAAAAAAAAACTGAGGCAATCTGGTAAGCAGGAGGGGGTTATACTCTGGGCTGGCCTACAGATTTTGTCTGTCAGTGTTCAGTCCTTCTCTAGGCAGCAGTAAAATCCAAAGGTTTTCAAAGTTCCTGTGTACCTTAATGGACAAGAAAAACATTTTTTGGGGGGTTAAAAGGAGAACTATGAGGTGAGTGCTTTTCACTCAGCTCATAGTTCTAGCCGACCTGTGACAATGAGACTGTCACAGTTCGGCTCAGTAGATCGGGAGGTGAGCGAACACATACCGGCGTTCGCTCACTTCTCGATCCTGTCACGGCTCTCTGCCGCGACAGGGGAGGGGCTGAATTAAGAGCCAGCTGTCAGTCACGCAGCAGGGCGGATCCCGGCATAATTGTCGGAATCCGCTTCAGCTGCGGCGTCTCAGTATACCGCGGTATACTGAGCCTAGGGTGACGGGAGGACGCTAGTTTGTGTCCTCCCGTTACCCTTAAGGAGAACTATGGGGAAAAGCCTTAACCCCATAGTTCTCCTTTAAGGGAAACCTGTGCTGAAAGAAAAAAAAGTCTGAAAATGCTAGATGCCTGTCTTGGGCTTCAATATTTTTCTGAGTCACCAACTCAGTACAAGTGTATCAAGCAAAGACAGAAGTTCTGATATACATCCACTTCCAGCTCAGTGATTACTGAATCCACTCATCAAGATGGCAGCAAGGAGACCAGCATTTTCAGGAATGGCATCCTGTGTATTGCAGACTTTGAAGGTAGCACAGGCTACCTTCAAAGTCTGCATCTGACATTAAACAGAAACTAAAAGAAAGCACGGCTGCCTCCCTGAATGAGAATCTTCAATAAAAACAGATGATCATTAATTGAATCTTTTCCATCCACTATGCAAGCAAGAAAACAAGCAAGATTTACAGATAAATGAATCCAGGTAACTGTACTAACATATTTCAAATTGGAACAAGTGACATGCGAATAGTAGCTTACCAGCTTTCTTAGCTATTAAAGATCCATCTCGACTAATGACGATATCTGAGCTTTTCATCATCAGCATGCTCTGTCCAGACAGGATGCTTCCCAGAAGATCTGGCACAGGTTCTGCTACTGCCACAGAGTCGTGAACGGGAGCCACGCCGCCTCTGGCAAGATGTAAATGGAACAAAATAAATCAGCAGAGGTCTTATTGGTTTACATACATTGTGAGAACACTGAGCAGGCTTCAATAAAGTGTAGCTCTAAATGTACGAGACTGTTTTACCAGACAAAACCTGAGAGGACATACTTGGACTTTTTAGTTGCCAATTAAATGATGGCCACTACACACATATGGTAGTAGACGTGCAAATTAACAAAGAGCAAAAGGTATTAAAAACACAATAATCATCTTTCATTTATCTAACTGATTAAAGGTGAAACAAGAATGTTGTGTTGCTGCAGCAAGCAGATAACTCATTCTAATCATAAGGTAGCGTACTTCCTTTGATCAGTCTTACCGTGACAGCCCCACAGAGATCGGTCTTGCAACAGGTTGATGGGACCTTAAGGCAGAACGAGACAGGATCCTTCTCTTTGCAGTAAGCGGAGACGACAGACTACTATCATTATCCTCATTACTGTAAAACATGTACAACCATCAGACAAAATTATAAAACTACGTTGTTTGCAAAAACAGTCTAGATCAGTAATTAATGGCACAAACAAGTTATTGGAATAAGTTGTATAGAAAGCTTTTATGACAAATTAAAGCTAGAAGCTACAAGGATGTAATGTAGTCAGAAGCTAAATATTTGCATCTTTAACAAAATAAAGTACAGGGTATGCAAATCCACAATATGTTTTACTCCTTGCACTACAGTTACCAGGGATACGAAGAGACTATTGTATCAATACAATATTAGAACAAACAGTGCCCTTGTGTGAACAGACAGCCAGTCCAAGAGTGTATTTGTCAGCTTTATTCTTGAAAGCAGACTTGTAAGGTGTTTACCTGTCGAACGGATCTAGGTCATTTGGATTTCCAAATACAGACAGCAAGGCAGCTCCAATGTCACCTCTCATGGAGCCAAGTGTTTGCTCAGATGCCCTCTGTATACGAGGTAATGTTGTCCCTCGAGTCGGACTGCAAATACCCAAGGATTTAGCTATGCGCCTATGAGAAGTCGGAACTTTCCTATTCTGAAAAAAAAGAAGAAAAACATATACACATGGGTGTACAGCATCAACAGAACCCTTTTCTATGTGAATCTCCTGAGTGGAGGCTGCTAGATTTAATTCAAATCAATACATTCTCCTATTGTTCTGTATCTACAGTACAGAATAGCATAGGGAAAGTATAGTAGCTCTTAATTAAGTTTATATTTTTAAAGTTCTCATTGTAGCATTTCCTTAGAATAACCAATAATAATTTTCCATTATGTTGTGATTGAGAAATACATTCATGAAATGAATTTGCTCCAGAAGGAGCAAACAATGAATTTGCAATTACTCTGCCTCTCATCAACTGTGTAGCTAACTGATCTGCTAACTAGGGAACAACTATTTAAAAATATGTCTCAATACACAGGGACTTATTGATGTGCCTGCTGTGCACCAAGTACCTAAAAAATTTGGACAGGAATCACACCAGTGATTAAGTTCTAACTGGAAGGTCAGTGCTTAAAGTGCATCTTAACTCAAAAAGTGAAGATCTGATTTGTTATAAGGAACATCAAGAATAAAAGAAGTGTTAACTGGATTTTAGCAGTACCCTGAAAAATATACCTTTTATCATGAATTCCCAGCGTACTTTCTGGTATGCGAGGGTGCCTAGGAACCTATGTGCCATATATATAGATAGATCTATAGATAGATAGATAGATCTATAGATAGATAGATAGATCTATAGATAGATAGATAGATCTATAGATAGATAGATAGATCTATAGATAGATAGATCTATAGATAGATAGATAGATCTATAGATAGATAGATAGATCTATAGATAGATAGATAGATCTATAGATAGATAGATAGATCTATAGATAGATAGATCTATAGATAGATAGATCTATAGATAGATCTATAGATAGATAGATCTATAGATAGATCTATATATATCTATATATCTATAGATATATATCTATATATAAAGTCTCAGAAGTCACTACTGTGATGCCACCTTTTCTCCTTGCTGGAGATTCTGACATAAGAAAGCAAAGTCCTGCCTGTGCTAAAATGACCATCTCCACACAATGACACAGTGCAGAACAAGGCATGTTAAGTCAGCAAAGAGGAAAGATTAGCTGCAGGAGTCATAATACTGGCGACTAGTCTTTTGCCTTCTTTTACACACCGCTTTAGTTGAGAGTCTACGTAGATATGTTTTTAGGTTGCTAACAGTTTTAGCTTCATGGAAGCTGGAATGGTAATGTCGTCATGACATCACAGATGAATGTACAAGGTGCTCTTTTTATACTGTGCTGTTCTCATGTGCTCAAACAGCGGAAACCAGCCACATAGAGAAGCAAGCAAGAAGCAAGAAATCCACATCACATTTCTTCTAGGATATCTGCTTTGCTAGGCACACAACTCTTCCACAAGCTAACTTTGGTACTGTTGCCATTGGAGGCAGACAAGGCTAGAAAAAGCAATACCGGTTACTTGTTGTTAAACTAACAGGGGTAGTGTTTTTTGTTTTGTATTTGAATAAAAGGGAAATGTTTGAACCCATCAATATTTTATTGAGGTGTGTGCTTCTCCATTTGTCCTGGCAAGCACTGTAACCGAGACAAAAAGTGAGGAAAAAAACAAAATGTTGACGTATCACTAGAACAGGAATAGAGGGGAAATCTTCCTATAAGGGACACCTGCTCAGCTAAGAGGGTTATAAATCATTTTGGAGCATTTGCATCTCACTTACGTTGTGTCTATTAGTATAGAAGGTGACGGAAACCATTCCCTTCCCTACCCAAATGGAAAGGAAACAGTTTCGATTAAGATCCACTTTAAACTAGGTATATATATATATATATATATATCATTAAACCATTACCAGAAGAACCATGAGAAAATGTAAATCCATGGACTTTTATATGTCAGACATGTAAAATAATAGACCAGTGGTTTTCAATGAAGTGTGGAGGGGGGGCTCAAGTGAAGCACATGTTTAGAAAGAGGTGTATATTTTTTGCCCTGTACTATGGTACCTGATTCTGATACTGTTTGCTTGACACTTGTCTGAAATTAAAAACATTTACAAAACCTTCAGTAAAAAAAATATGGGGGAGTCTCAACTGCAGCACCTGAAAGCACCAAAGGGCACACATAATTTGTACATGAAATACTACATAAGTTTTCCAAAGCCTGAAACCATACTACTATAGGGGATGATCAGAGAGTGTGGACGTTACATGAAACTGCTACAGATCACCGTCATCACTGTCCCTTTGCAAATCAATGCTCCCATTCCCACTACTGCAAAGGGCTGCATAGCAAATACTTCACATGACCCCCTCAGGCTGCAGACTGGGATCCAGGGTAAAAGACACTCACAGTTTGCCTCCGCCCCTTCCGTTTCTTGACCCGCCGCTTTCGCCTTTTCCCCACACAACGACTCCCTTTCGACACTTTGGACTGACCCCTTTTTCCTGAAGAGAAAAAAACAAACAAAAAAAAAACGGAGAATGTTCCCATTTACAATGTGGTGGGTGTAGGGTGTTAAGAGCACTAAAAGCATCCGTTTTTTCAAATCAATCACTAAGATAGGAATAATATATAAACATAAGGTGTAGAGGTGTGTGTGTGTGTGTGTAGGTGTGTGTGTGAAGTTGTAGAGGTGTGTGTGTGTGTGTGTGTGTGAAGTTGTAGAGGTGTGTGAAGTTGTAGAGGTGTGTGAAGTTGTAGAGGTGTGTGTGTAAAGTTGTAGAGGTGTGTGTGTGTGTGTGTAAAGTTGTAGGTGTGTGTGTGAAGTTGTAGAGGTGTGTGTGTGTGTGTGAATTTGTAGGTGTGTGTGTGTGTGTGTGAAGTTGTATATGTGTGTGTGTGTATGTGTAGTTGTATGGGGGTGTGTGTGTG